TGGATGGATGGACAGACGGATGGACAGTTGGACAGGATGGGCGGGTGAGTGCACAGACACTGATGGAGGAACTGGCACAGGTACAGAAAGTTGATTGATTGGTCCCGAGAGCAGAAGCCCTCGCTGGGGACATGTGCTGAGGGCTGGGAGCCCGGCTGCCCCTTGGGTGTCCCTCCAGATCCCCGTGGGCCCCGCCTACCTTCTTGGCACTGCTCTTCGTCACTGCCRTTGAGACAGTCAGGCTGCCGATCACAGACCCTGGACAGTGAGACACACGTGCTGTCCTCTTGGCACTGGAATGTGGCTCTGCACACTGAGGGGACAGAGAAGGGCCAGTGGGAGGACACCCGAGGACCAGGCTGGGACTTGGCCGTGGTGCCCATGGAGCGTGTGTGTCCTGGGAGAGGTCACAGCTCTTTCCCAGCTACTGTGYGCTTGAGTGTCACCACAACCCCAGGAGACACCCCATTTCGTGGGTACAAGCAGAATGAAGTGACTTGCCCAGCATCCCCTGGCTGAGCTAGAACTGGCACCTGGATGGTCAGTGTTCAGGGAGGAGGCCCCTCCCCAGCATCGCRGCCGGGTCAGCCTACAGGGGGGCTTCTCCGCCTCCTCCTGCTCCTCTCCCAAACTCTGATGGCAGTGGAGGGGGACAGCAGCAGGATTCAGGGCTCAGGTGTTTTTCCAAGAAAGCCCTGGCCTAGGGGACCACCAGGAGTCCTCCCCGGGCTGGGCACCAGAGCTGGCAGCCTGGGCCCTGGAGAAAAGGGACGAGGACTCCATCTGAGAGTGGTGAAGACTTGTCCCCAGGCTGCCCTGACAGTGCCTGCCCTTCCTGATGCCCCCCGCCCTCTCTGGTCCTTCCTGACATCTGGCCAGACCGACAGCCGGGTGTTGGCCTGGTGGTCAGAAGCCCTGAGTTGAGAGTTGGGAGACCCGAGTCCCAAGTTGTCCCTGCCACGGCCCCACAGGGTGGCCCTGGTGAGGCTCCTGCCATCTCAGCTCAGTGAGAGCCCTGACTCTCGGGTGCCAACAGGGGAACTGCAGGTGCCAGGTGTCGGGGCCTTAGCTGGCGCTGCGCAGGGCAGGCAGGCGACCGGGGGCGGATGGAGGCTCACCACAGTTCCTCTCGTCCAGGCCGGTGGGGCAGTCCTTGATCCCGTCACAGGCCGGGACACAGAGGCCGTTCACAGAGCAGAGGAACTCTCCAGGGCAGGCTGGGCCACAGGAGGCCACGGAAGCAAGGAGGGCACCGTTAGCACAAGGATGCACCCACACGCATGTGCATACACGTGCATGAACAGGTACAGGCCGGTGTCCATACCCAGACAGGCGCAGGCGCACACGGGTGGGCAGGCGTGAGCATGCATGTGCCTGAGGACGTGTGGCAGCCAAGCACGGGCACGCGAGCTACACGCACACGCACGCACAGTCGGCCAGCCTGGTAAGCAGCAGGGAGAGGCACGGGGTCCTGGGTCCCTGCTGCAAGCTGCTGGCCGTACTCACGGTCTGACTGGTTGTACAGGCCGTAGTGCACCCGCACCCCGGGGCCCGTGAGGGAGATCTGGGAGGTGAAGTTGATGGTGATGCCAGCCGTTGTCACCACGGGGATCCTCTCGGCATAGGGCTGCAGGGTGCGCAAGCCACACAACCTGGGGGGGACCAGAGACAACTCAGGGATACACGGCTGGTTTCCCAGTTCAAGGGAAGGCACAGTCTGGGCCCCTGTGCACAGATAGGGCAAGGACGGGGCTGCCAGCAGGGACAGGAGCTGCACCTGCCCCAGATCCTGTCTTGATTCCTCCTGGGGGTGTCTGTTCACCCTCAAGTCACCTCTAGAAAGCAGCCAGCTATGTTCCTCCCCTGCTCCAGAAGGTTCAATGGCTCCCTATTGCCTAGGGAATAACAGTCAAAGTCTAGATTCTCCCAGGCACCAGGAGCTCTGAGACTCTGGCCAGTCAGGGTCCTTCCCGGAGTCTCGCTTTCCTTCCTTATTATAAATGATTCCTGCTGACCTTGGATCCAACAAAAGGCTCCTGTGTGTCAGCAAGGGCAAACCGTCTTGGCTGACCAGTCTCTGACAGGGGAGGTCACTCCCCTTGTGCCTGGAAAGGCCTGAGAGGCAGCGTTCCCCAGTCCACCTTGTCCGCCTGCTGGGGCTGCTGGCAGGCTCCCCAGGGCCCTCTGGGCTTGATGGAAGGACGGTCCTCCCACGAGGACTCCTAGTCTGGGGCTGATGGACATTCTCCAGGCACAGCCACACTCAGGTGGGAACACACCTGCCCAGGGGCTCCCTCACGTCCTACCAAAGCCCTCCCCATCGGGAGGGTGCTCAGTTGGAAGGCCAGGTGGGACAGCCCCCACGGGAGGTGGAGCCGGCCCCAGAGAACAGGCCGCACACCTGCCCTCACAGAGCAGGTGCAGGCGGCCCTGGGAGATGGGGCCCTCCCCAGAGCAGTGGGGTCCCTCCGTCCCCGGTGGGATACCCTCACAATACAAACGGGGACAGCCCGTCCGCTCACGGGATGCCCCAACAGGCACAGAGAGAAGCTGTTTGCAGCAGGGTCCCACAAGGAACCCAGGCCCGAGACCTCCAGAGAGGGATGAAATGCTCAGCCAGGAGCGTAGTGGAGACCAGAGGCCAGGGACAGCCCCAAAGTATGGGGGGACACCCCACAACACACACGCCCCCGCCAGCTGGCCACCTCATGCCCAGAGCCGGAACTTCCGGAACACCGCGAGCCGGACACTCAACAGCAATCAGTCAATCAACCACCAGCCAACCCCCAACGAGCCTCCGGGGCAGCAGGCCCGGCCTCCCCGCACCCACCTGCCGGGAGGACCTGCTCTAGCCCACTTTTCCACAGGGCGCTGTTGAGGTGGAGCAGAGACCGCTGGCCTGCTGGGCATGGAGCCCCCTGGCTCACCCCCCACCATGAGCTCTAGGGACCGAGCCCCTCGAATGCCCCTCCAGGGCCTGGCCTAGACTCAGGCCTCCTGAGAGTCCATCTCCAGACACCGCGGCCTTGTTCTTGACCGTGCACCCACGAGCAGTCCCCAGGGTGCCATCCGGGGACCCCTGAGGATCCAAAGTCATTGTCATAGTGAGACCCTGTTGTTGGCTTCTGTCACAGTGATACGGCGGAACTTTCCAGACGCCACGTGAGACATAATATCATCGAGTGCGGGCAGAAGCAGWTGCCAGGGTCAGTGTGGGCTCTTAAGCCACTCATTAAAGAAAGTTGCAAAATGTGTAAATGACTCTTCCCTGTCGCCAACGGTTTTTGGCTTGAGAAAACGTAACTAATTTTCCACAGATGTTTTCCACATGAACACATAATAGGCTGATTATTGTTTTAAAGGAGTCATGGTAGTCCCCCTTCTCCACTGGGGTCCCTTCCAGGACCCCATGGGTACCTAAAATCATAGATAGTACCAAGCCCTCGATGCCCTTCCTCCCTGTTCATACTTAGATGAAGTTAAACTGTAAATTAGGCACAGTGAAAGATTAACRATAACTAATAATAAACTAGAAAAGTCGCATCAATATGCCAAAATTAAGTTACTTAAAGCTCAGGAATTATTTCTGGAATTTTCCACTTGATATTTTCAGACCTTGTGACAGTGGGTAGCTGAAACGAGGAGCAAGAGGAAACAAATGTAATGACTATTTTAAATGACCTTGGGTGGATTTCTAGCATTGTAATTATAGCRGTATGACCTTCACATGCAAGACCTCTGCAGGGTGCTCCCTAATTTTAATTGGAGTAAAGGGGTCCCAAGATAGAAAACGATGATAGAAAACCAAGGTCTTGCACCTAGATGCCCCCAGCCTCAGCTGCACCTGAGGGGCACCTGGCACCACCAGGGGGCGCCCAGGAGCAAGCCCAGCCCTTTTCATGCTAAGACACCAACCCGTGCGTGGTTTTCAGTGGGACCAGCGGGCTACCACKGGTTGTTACCCCTGAGGCTGCCCAGGAAGTGGACAGAGACACTAGGGGATGGAATAAGGGCAGGGGAACAAGGAGTCAAATGGATCCCTAAGAAACGTAGATTCGGGGATGTCAGGTCATTGATCCCATGGAGAAGCTGTGGGACCCAGGGAGAAAACAGAGCCCTGTTGAAGGGAACCGAACATTTCAACCTAGAGAAGCTGCGTGGTTGCCTGGGCCTTGGGCAGGGCCTGAGGCACCAGTGCCACAAGCAGGATGTCCCCTCTGCTGGCAATGGGCCGCGGCCGCGCTCCCTTCCCCGGGTTCCTGCACCCCRCAGGAACCTGTCCATCACGGCAGCCTTTGGTGCTTGCGGTGGAGCAGGGGCTGGGCTRGGGTCGTGGGAAAAGCCTCTCCTTACCGGGGGCCAGACCAGCATCCAAGAGGCCCTGTCCACGGCCTCTGCGTGGTGCACCCTGGACACAGCCTACCCTGCCCGTGCAGGGCTACAGTTAGTTTAAGTTAGCAGCTACTTCACATGATAACCCTGAAACACTRGCTGGGACGAATAGCCAGGGCCCGTGTGACCCCGTGAGCCTGGGCCCTCTTCTCCCCAAGCAGCCTGCCTCCCAGAGCCTGGTCCCCGCCTGGCCAGTGGCTCATCCTGCTCCTGCCTCGGAGGCTCCTGGGGGACGCCTGGCCTCTGGCTCCCCTTCCTGCCACCCACCAAGGCCGCCCAGGAGCACCCAGAAAGAGCAGCGGCTGCACGCCCTGTGCCCCGGGGCTGAGCGCTGGGTGAGGGAGGYGCTGCTGCCCTGCGCCCTGCTGTCCCGCCTCTCTGGCTTGGGGGATTCTGTCCTKGCCTCACCAGATGGTGAGCAGGGACCCTGTCCACCTTGCCTGCCGGCAACCGCAGGAATGGGAGACTCCTGGGTGGGTGGAGAGGAGGGARCACTCGTTCCGTCCTTCCTAAGGACAGGCTAAAGGGAAAGAGGGACAGGAAGGCAGGCACCAACGCGGGGACGGCAGTGTCCCGCCCGGTGGCCAGAGCCCTGGACCTGGCCTTGCAGAACTGAGTTCGAGGTTTGGCACCTGAATGGCCTGTGTGGCCTTGGGGACAGGACCCTGCCTCAGACAGCTTTAGGTCTCGTCAGTAAACCGGGCGACAGACCCCTCGTGCCGTGTTTCAGGAGCAATGACTGGGACAGCACAGGGCTGACAGGCAGGCTGTGGCCATCTGGGAACAGGGGACCCAGCCTCCACCACGGCCAGCACCAGCACAGGGTGGCCACAGGCACGCTGGCCRCCCAGGGCCTGGGTGGGGAGCAGAGAGGCCCCCAGAGCCAGGCTGGCCACAGGGGCCCCGTCAGCCCAGCCGCCTGACCCCGGCCTGGCCTCCAGGGCTGGGAGGGAGTGGAAACGGCTCTGCAGGTCAGAGGAGAAGTGACATCACAGGAGAGGAAGCCAGTGAGGGACAGGTTCCCGGAAAGGGGGAAGCCTGCACTGCGGTGGCACCCAGGGAGGTGGCTTCTGTGAAACCCAGCAGGCTGCGGCTGCACCTCAGGAGGACGGGTCCCTCCACTGCCCCCAGGCCACCAGCAGGATCGGGGGCTCAGTGGATCCCAGCACCAGGAGACACTGGGTCTAGAGAGGTCACAGGCGACAGGGCAGGCCCAGCCTCTGGAGGCCCGGCGGGCATTTCCTGTCCACTTGCCCTGAGGGCTCAGGCCCCCTCTCCCCTGACCACCCCTTGCCTCCTCACCAAGAAGCCAAAGGGCTGGGCCTCCCCACCCTACACCCCGYGCCCCACGCCTGCCCCCCCAGACCCGCCCACCTCTCCACCCACACCAGGTTTCCCAACCAACGCTCAGGCAGAGAATTTCCCAGCATCAGCCCAGAGTGATCGAGAGCGATCGTTATCAGCACCCAAGCAGCCGGGGCACAGCACTCCCCGCACACGGGGCCCATCCATCCCTGAGCCTCAGAACAAAACCAAGACCCAGGGACGACCAGGACAGCGGCCAGGCTCCTGGGAGGCAGCGACCCCTCTGCCCTCCCTTCCCATGGGCATGCAGGAGCCTGGGAGGGGACGAGGCTCCACTGGGAGACCCTGGCCCTGAGTTACGGTCTGGAAGACAGGGCTGTGGCATCCCGGGGTTGCTCTCAGAAGAAAGGACAAGAGGGACTCTGGCACTGCCACGGCTCCCACCAGCACAGAGCATGGGGGACAGCTCAGCCGAGGGGGAGGCCRGTGGCACGGGCCACGCAGATCCGCAGACCTGTGCCCACACGCTCTGCAGCAGGCTGCCTGGGCTCAACTCTGGCTTACAAGCTGGGTGTTTTTGCAYTAATGACTTTGCCTCTCTGTGGTTTGGGGTGAGTTCCTGGAATTCATGTGTTAATGGTATTTGGAGGTGGGACCTTCAGGAGGTGATTGGGTAAAGCGGGTTCCATTCTCATGAATGGATTCACGGATTAATTAATTAATTGTTTAATGGGTCACCTTGAGAGCAGTTGTCTCCATGTGACACCCTCCACCATGTTATGATGCCATACGAGGCCCTCACCAGGTGCTGGTGCCATGCTCTGGGACTTCCAGCATCCAGAACTGTGAGCCAAATAAACCTTTTTTCTTTAGGAATTATCCTGTCTCAGGTATTTTGATACAGTCAGAGAAAACAGAGTAGGACACTGGTATAAGCACCTACTTTCTCATTGGGTTGATGGGACTGAAGAAGACAGTACCATGGCCCTTATAAGCCTCAGTGCCCAACTAGTACAGTGAGAGCCAGGTATTAACGAATGGTGGGTGTCACACGATGCTTCATTATCGAGACYTGTGTGTGCCAACATTCTCTATGCATTRTCTCATTTAATCTTCAGCACAGGGGGATCTGTTTCCCATCCCCACCCTTTTATAGGCAGTGCTGGGGATAGAATGTGAGCCTCATGCAAACCGGGCAAGTGCTCTGCCACCCAGCCACGCCCCCAGCTTGGGGCACATTTTTGAGCTGAGTTCTGAGTGCTGAGAGGGAAGACCTCACCCAAGCAGAAAGCAGAGGGCCCTGGCCGGCAGCCTCCCACTCCAGCCCCTTCCACCTCACGGCCCCCAGCCGGAATGAGGTTGCTTGGGGACTTGAGATCAGCGACGGCTTTCTGCTGGGCAAACACCTGAAATTGGGGCCTGGGCTGCCCGACCCTTGTGCTTCCCAGGTGAGGACGGGACTTCCAGAGTTCCAGCACCTTCCACCCACAGGAGGCCCGGGAGCTGGGAGTGAGGGTGTGGGGACCTGCCAAGCTTCCCCCTCCTACCAGCCCCCACTTGGCCACACCCAAAGTCCCTCCCAACACGGAGCAGCACAAGAGGCCGAGTCCTGAGCCTCCTGGCCTCAGGGTCTCCACTGGACAGAGGGGAGGGTTGGCTCAACCGCCCGTCCAGCCCACGCGTCCCCAGTTCAGTGGCCCCCTATCCCACTGCACCTGTCCTGCTGCCCACAGCTGGGCCATTAGAGCATCGTCCATTTCAAACAGACTTTCCCCATCTCTGTTCCCACTCCACACGCCCCCATTACCACGGAAGCTCGTGAGTTCTGAGCCCCCAGCAGCCAGCCCTCTGCCTGCCTGCTCGGGCACAGGAAGCAGGCCCCCACAGGGGCAGGGTGTGCCCCTCTATCCTGCATCCCACTGTTCGTGGCCTGGGATGGGTGGGGGGAGGCCTGACTGGACCCCTCTGGGTGCCATCTAATCCTGCTGAGACTCCCCTGGCTCTGGGAGACAGAGCAGTGCCATCCCCCAGGTGTGGGGCCAAAGGACTCGCYCTGTGCTGAGCACCGAGCACCTGTGCTGGTCCTGGTGCCTGGCGGGTGGAGCTGCCCTGGGGTGGGGCTAGGGAGTGGACCCGGGGCGTGGACCCAGGTCCATCCGCCCTCCTTCCCAGGCCTCCCTGAGATATCAGAGTCAGCTCTAGTGGCAGGAAAACACGTCACCTTCATTCACAGAACTGTGAATCATCGGCCCATCTTAGGGTTACTCTGGGGACACTGGTGGTGACCTCCCCCTTATCAGCTTGAGTGAGGAAGGAGGGCCCCTGAGGGAGCTCCGTGAAGGAGCCGGGCAGCCATGCCTAGGAAYGCCCCTGGTCCCCTTGCTAGGAGGTGCCTCTGCTCCCCAGACAGCCCTGGCCCTGGTCACACCACGGGCATTTCTTGCCCTTTCTTTTAGTCATGGTCCCTGATAAACTGCAAAAAGCCTGGACAGGAAGGTCATGTCCCTTGAGCATTGTCAATCCCGTCACTTTTGTCAGGACGGTCCTGTCTGATGGGATCAACCAACAAGCAGAGTGCAAGTGTTGGCCACGGGGACACCAACTGCAGAACCYGAGAATCCTAGCATTCCAGAAACTTCCAAATGGAAGAGGGGAACATCAGGTGCTCAAAATCTGTGAAGCCCAGAAATCAAGAATTCTAGAATTGGGGCTGGGGCTGGGGCTCAGTGGCAGAGCACTTGCCTTGTGCATGTGAGGCACTGGGTTCGATCCTCGGCACCACATAAAAGTAAATATAATAGAAAATAAACGTAGTGTGTCCATTTACAACTAAAAAATAAAATAAAAGAATTCYAGAATGGCGTCCTAAAAAAGTCCCCACCTGTGAGATCCCCAGAGTCCCGCATGGGCTGGGAAGGCAGAGGCCCCCTGCTATTAGACGTAGAGTCTCTGTCAAGGTCCCTGGACAATGGCCCTTCTCACAGGGAGGGAAGCATCCAGGGCTCTGCAAAGGCGGCTCCAGGTCCCTCCTCCCTCCTGGTCCTTTTCTCTCCCACAGAGGAGGGGGAGGGCCTCCTTCCCTCCAGTGGGCTCCCTCCCCTCCGGCCCTTCCCCCAGCCTGGACCTTGCTTCCCTCCCTGGACAGGATGTTCCCCATGGCCCTGTTTAGACGCTGAGCCCCACCCTCTGGATTGTCCCTCGGGAGTTCCCGTTCCCTCCTCTCCCAGATGAAGAGGAACGTTCATGGGCTCCCTGCCTCCCAGCGCCTGCCCCACCCACCTCAGGACCAGCAGGGGCCCAGGGTGGCTACCCCAGGGAGCACTGACCTGCATTCTGCTAAACCCCAGCCACTCTGACCCTGGTGACACCCCTCTCTTAGCCAGATCCCTCTGTCTACTGTTCCCCGCCCCCCAGAGGGGCTGGCTGCTTCCTTACTAAAAGAGGGGCCGAGGGTGGAAGCAGAGAACAGGTGAGTGTCCTGCAGGGGACCCACGCGTCCCTGAGTGACCCGGGTCTCTCTGGGAGCAGCGGTCAGCACCAGAGAGAGTGTCTGTCTTTGGCTGTGCGTGGGGAGTGGGAAGAGGGATGAGGKGCCTCGCAGGCACTTGTGTGGGTCTGGGGGCCCCTGAGTGCCTGGGGACCTGTCTCCCGCCTCATCCCGGAGATGAACTCAAGGTGCCTGGCCCAGGACTTCAGCACCCGCGGAGACGCACCCTGCGGCTTCTGAGGACAAGTGTGTGACTGAGACCCTGCAGCAGGAGAGGTGGGCAGGGGCGGGGCCGGGGCGGGGCCGGGGCGGGGAAGGGGCGTGGCCTGGTAGGGCCGGGGCGTGGCTGGGACATGGCTGGGGGGGCTGGGGAGGGACCAGGGAGGGGCCGGGGCGGGACAAGGTCCAGAACCAGCTCCGGCCTGCACCAGCTCCAGCCTCCACGGGCTTCCCTCAACTGCCCCTCGAGGCTCCAACTTGGGCTCCCAGGGGGTACCTGGGGGGAGGGGGAGAGTCCTGGGAGGGGTACCTCCGGTTCTGGATGGTCCACTGGCCCTGGGTACACGGCAGGTCGTACTTCTGCCTCCGAAGCGCGTAGGCATCAAACCAGAGGGCCAGGCCGTAGTCCAGAGAGGGCACCTGGGAGGAAGGAGTGGGTCATCACGCGACCCGTGGGAGGGACCACGCCGGGACGCCAGCTCCCCAGACCACACTGGGGGAGGGCCGGCCACTGGCAGTCCCCGCCGCAGACAGTCACTCRACAGATATCCCGGTGACCATCAGAGAGACCCTGGCTACGCCACACCCCACCCTGGCAGGATTGGTACCCAGACCTCAACCTGTGGGCCTTGAGCAGGACCAGACCCTGCCCGTCCTGCCCTGGTCCCAGAGGCCTGTGGAGTGCTCTGGACCGAGGGCGGGCGGCAGTGGGGGCAGGGCTCACCGTGATGTGCCAGGAGCAGTGGGTGCTGGGAGAGTAGTAGCTGGGGAAGTAGGGTGTGCTCAGCACGCCCTGGGCGTCCAGACGGCCCTCCAGCGTGACGTTGACCTGGCAGGCTGGGCAGGAAAACAGGTATTAGGCAGAGTCCCTGGCCAGGAACCCCTGTACTTCCCATGGGGAGGGGGCAGCTTGCAACCTACACCTAGCCCCCACCCTTGTGCTTACGTGAGCATGAGCCTCAGACTCCTCGTCTGTAAAGCGAGGGCATTCGTAGTTCATAGCTCATAGGGCAGCTGGATAGATTATATAGACAGGAAATGCCCAAACAGCCTGGCACGTAGTAAGTGCTCAGTAAACGTTAGACACTGACGTCAGTACCCAGCACTCAACAGTTCACAGAATGTGTTCACGACTGCGCCAGCCTCACGGTTATGATGTGAGGGGCACTTTCCCCTCTTCAGAGGTGAGGTCCAGAGGGGCTGGGTGTAGCTCAGGGAGAGAGCCTTGCCTAGCGGGCAGGAAGCCCTGCGTTTCATTCCCAGCTTCTCAAAATATGAAGGAAGAGGATCGCAGGACAGCAGCTACTTGTTGGAGCCCCTCTGTGAGAGGCTGAGGGCCAGGGCCCAGGAGCAGGGCCAGAGGGCTCAGCTGCCCTGGCCATCTCTCCTGGGGGCCAGTTTCTAACCCCCCAGTTCCCCCCCACACTGTGCCAGAGGCTCCCAAGAAAACCCAGCCAGCTCTCACACCCCCACAGGGCCAGCTGGGGACCCGGGTCACTGTCAGAGACCCCGAGGTTGACCAGGAGAGGCAGGGGACCCTGAGTGGGAAGGAGCAGAGGGGGGACAGGTAGGGAGGAGGAGTCATGGGCCAGTGGCCCCCTCTCTGCCGGCCACCCATCCCCAGCCATGGGAACGGGGCAGTGGGCTCTGGGGGCCAGGGGACAGCCGTGGGGTGGGGGTGGGGAGGGAGAGCCAGGGCAGCGGGGGGGGGGGAGGGTGCTGGGGAGGGTCAGTGGGCGCCTGGGGTGGCCTGAGCAGTCGCCCTGCTGTGGGCCGGGATGGCCAGGGCTCGGCCTTGCTGGAAACAGACCTGGTCCACAGTGAGCAGGGGTCGGGGGGCTGGGGAGGGATGGGCCGTAAAAGAGGGGAAATGAAGGGGGAATGAGGTAGAGGAGAGGGGGTGGAGAGCAGAGGGGCTTCCAGAACCTTCCTCCCGACCCAGCCCCACTAAGGTGACGAGGCCACCGGGAGGGCCCTGGGCTTCTGTCCGCCGGCCTCTCACCCTGGAAGGCCACCGGCTGCACAGAGAGCAGGAAGGGGTCATAGTAGCTGTGCAGGCCCTTCTTCCAGACCACCGCCATGACGGCGCCCGACGCCAGCACCTCCAGCACGGGCTCCTGGCGGCTGCAGCCATAGGCCCTGCGGAGAGAAGGGTGGCCATGGCGGGCCAGGGTCGTGGGCACGGGGCCAGGGGGCCTGCAGGCGGCTGCTGGAGGCTAGAGGAGGGTGCACAGGGGTCTGGACAGTGGTTCCAGGCCCAGGTTGTGATGGCTGCTGTATGCACATGGTCAGGGGCCTGTCCCTCTCTGGGCTCGGGGGGCTGACCAGAGGCCCTGCAAGTCAGGCCAGTGTCTGGGGTAAAGAGGCAGGGGTCCCCCAGACGATGCTTGCGGCTCCTCCCTGAGAGCACCCCAGGTCCACAGCCCGGGCCACCGCCTCGGAATTCCCGTGATACCCGGGTGATACTGACAGCAGCCAGCGGGCCCCTGAGACCCCCCACACCCTGCCTCCTGGCCTTGCTCTGGGCCGGGCAGGAGGTGAGTGTGCTCCAGGGATTCTGGGGCACCTCAGGCGTCCCCGGAGCCCTTTGCCTGAAGACTCGGGCAGGTGACGGCATCTTAGAGCCACAGCTTCAGAAGTCCAGAAGGTCAGCCCTGACGGTGCTTCGGGGGCTGCCGGGGCCACCGACTGCTTCCAGAGGGGAACCGAGGCCCCACTGCGATGGCAGGGACAGGCCCTGGGCATAGCTGTGACAGCGGGCCCTTCCCAGGACGTCGGTGGCCCCATCACGCCCCTCTCAGACAGGGGTGTCCCCAGCTCACCAGCCTCTAGAGTCCTCGTTACCCCATGGACCAAGTCCCAGGAAGCTAATCACTGGCCTCCCGATGTCCCCCCAGGTACTGGCTCATGCCTACTGTGTGCAAGGTACTGACTGCATGCCTACTGTGTGCAGCCACATGGCCTGGTGGAGACGGGACGTGGTCCGGGTGTGGCAGCTCCTGGGCAGGGAGTCTGCCAAGCGGCCAGCACGGGCAGCTCCAGCCTGCAGCTGGCCTGGGGCGGGARGAATGAGCCCAGGGCCCGGGGGTGGGTTCCCCTGGCCCTGCCGCAGCTCTTGCAGGGGACGGGGCAGCTCCTGTCCCAGGCGCCCCTCCCTGCCCCCTTCCTGGCTGGTGGCCTTTTCTGCCTCCCTGTCCCCGTCCACCCTGGTCACCTAGCAGGTTCCTGTCTCTGGGGTGTGGGGTGGGATAAAAGGAGGTGAAGAGACGCCAAGGTCTCTCCTCTTAATGGTGCTTCAGCCTTCATCGCGGGGGCTACCTGACTGTCAGCGGAGCTCTTATAAATGAACCATGAAGGTCAGAAACAAGCCTGGTCACACTGGAGGAGGCCCACCCGCCTCTGTCACCGCCAAGGTCCCCCCGCCCCCGCCCCCAGCTCAGCCCTGGGGTGGAAGATTGAGGACCCGGGTCACTGAGATCTTCCCCCAGGATCCCAGATGGGGACAGGGCTGAGCCGGCAGCCAGGCCTCCTCCCCAGCAGCCGCCTGGGGGAGGGGGACACCCAGAGAACCCCAGGGGAAGCCCAGGATGGTCCCCACCCTGGACCTGCAAGTCAGATGGTGTCTGGCTCCTCTCACTTCCCAGAGCCCTGCAGGAACCAGCCCACGCACACCCAGATTGAGGTCACCTCTGCAGGCGAGGGGGGGGGGTGCAGGGGGGGGGGGGGGGGGGGGGGAGGGTGCAGCCTCAGAGCTGGAGACTCAGCCGCCCTGAGGAGGGGCGGCGCCCGGCTCACCCAAGGCCCGCCCTAGAGCTGAGCACCAGGTCCCTCCTCTGCCGAGAAGCTGACGTTTGCCAGGGACACAGAAACGGCCCCAGCCTGGGTCTGGCACAACTCAGTGGCCCCGCTGCCCAGCCAGTGTCCCCACCTCGTGCAGAGCCTCGCACACCCACACACCTCTGTTCTCCTGGTGGAGGTCGCCAGACCTCTGGAGGCCAAGGCCACTTCCAGTCCTCCTCCCTGCCCACTAGCCCTGCCCTCTGCTGTGCCCATGTGCTAAGACCTCTGCTCAAGAACTTGCAGTAGCTCCTACTGATCAAATATTAAAGTCCAGACTGGTCTGGGACTCAGTGACCGTAACAGGTGGGTCCTCCAGACCATATAGAACCTAGTCCCTAATAGTATAATATCACTACTAGAAGAGACCTTGCAGAACGTGATGATGGCGTGCATTGGGGCGGTGTGAGGATCGYGGCACAGAAGGTCTGATTTAAGTTCTCATAAACATTCTGAAAGACAAGCCTGTTTGTACTCTCTTTACAGGTGAGACAACTGAGTCTCAGAGAAAGGCAACTTAACTTGCCTTAGGGCACACAGCCAGGAAACAGCAGAGTGGGGGTGTTGGAAGTCCAGGCTGCTGCCAGACTGAAATCTTCTAACAAGACATGTGGCCTTCCAGAGTGGACCTTAGGGGTCACCTAGAACCACTGTTTTGTTACCGATGGGGAAACTGAGGCTCTGGGAGGGGGAGGGGACTGCCCACTGCCTCTCCTTCCTCCACCCCTGCGTCTAGTCTTGCTTTCCCAAGGTCACAACAGCCCCCGACTCAGCTGAGCATGACCCTTGACCTTTACACACACACACACACACACACACACACACACACACACCCGGGACTCACGAGGTGATGAGCCTCTTCTCCAGGGGCCCGGGCGCATCGTACACGGCCAGCCTGTCGCGGCACTCGGGCAGGGTCCACTCGAGCCGCAGTTTGAGCATGAGGTCCTGGGGGCCCTGCAGGTGCCACAGGCAGCTGGAGGCCAGGTGGTCGGGCCCCTTCAGCCTCAGCGCCTGGCCCCGGCCCACGTAGCTGTAGCGGTAACAACCTGGAGGGGGAGAGGGGAGAGCCCTGGCCCCGGTCAGCCGGGAGGCCCCGAGCTGCGTGGGGTGGGGAGGAGCTGGGTGGGCTGGCCCGGCCGGGGGTCCCTGTGCCCGGGGGTCCCTGTGCCCGGGGGTCCCTGTGCCCGGCTCCTGCCGCTCCCCTCTGCAGTCCCCCCGCTGCCTCCCCATCACCATCCTTCACGACCTGCTGGGCTGCTGGCCAGGGGAGCCGTCGCAGCAGCTCCTGCCACAGCAGCTCACAGAGCCTTGGGTCTGGGGTCCTCTGCTCACTGCCCAAGTCCCTGGGCCTCCATGTCCCCATCGGGAGACAGAGGACAATGCCGCCTGCAGGGACTTCCCGGGCTCAAGAGGATGTTGGGCGCCGTGCACAYAGTAGGTGCCCAATAAAGGCAGGTGGGTGTGGGGGAGGGGAGGAGGTGGCAGTGGGGAGAAGTCCTGTGACCCGTCGCCCTCAGGTGCCCCCACTTGACACCCCCTCCTCCTCCGTCACCCGGTCTTCCCGGGCCCACGCCCACCCCAGGGCCTCTTGGCTGACATTTCATCCACGAGCTCTGCTGTGACTCCAGAGCTGGCGGAGCGGGACCTGGCACCTCCTCCCGCCATCATCCAGTGGCTACTGAGCACCACGCGGGCTCCGTCAGCGTCCCCCACAGGGCACACACTATCTCATTTAAACCTCCGTGAGCCTCACAGGCAGGGAGCTGGGGCTCTGCCAGGAGGTGGAGGGACTGAGGAATGAACCCTGGTGACCCTGGGCCAGTGGCTTAGCCACTCTGTGTCCTGGTAAAAGGACCCAGTCATAGTCCCTGTCACGCCTCCTTTCCTGGTGGCTCTGAGGACTCGGAGGGGAACAGAGGCCAGTGCTCTGCTCTGAGGCTGCAGCCGGTGGCTCAGCTCACTGTCCCCCACCCCTGCCACCTCTGACCTCCCCAGACAAAGAGCTGGGGTATCAGCCTGGGGGAGCAACAGGCCTCGGCCCTCTGCCTCCCCAACTGGCGCCAGGCCCCTGGCGGCTCCTGGACACTGTGCCCTTTAAGTCCTGCTCCCACCCGATGCTTTGCTCTTGCTATTTTAATAATTCCTTTTAATTTGAGGCTAATAATTCAGTGTGCCCTGAACCCAGCACAGAGTACAGTGCCAGGGTGAGCGCGCCAGGCAGAGTGTGCTGGCACGCGGGCACCTGGGCACGCAGGACGCAGGGCCCAGGGCATAGAATCAAGGCCGGGCCAGGCCGGGACGGTGGGCCTTGTCGTGCACTGACGTTCTTCTCTCCAGTCCCCCCACTCGCTTTCCCCAACCGACGCCCACAGACAGCTACCCTGGAGGCCACCCCAAGTGCACGGAGCAACAGAGGGGCTTGCTGTCTGTGACCTTAAAAAGAGGTCACTCTAAACAGACAACTGACGGAAACCTCGGGTTTCCCCTTGCGAAAGCCGGACCCTGAGAAGGCCAAGGTCTCTCTGAAGCCCTTTAGAGAGGAGGTTTCTTCTAGACCACAGGCTGCGTGCGCCCGAGCCCTGGGGACGAGCAGCCTCGGCCGTCCACCTGCTTCTAGGTCTGCACGGTCACCAGTGTATCTCGGGGTGCAGGGCCCTCCTTGAGCATCAGCACCCCGGGGCTGCTCATTGTGACACACCTTCCTGAGCTGCGGACAAGACCTGTGGGCGCCACCCAGGAGGGCCCGCGGGGGTTCCAGAGAGCCCCGAGTTTGAGAACCACTGGCGTGGAGCTGTAAAAGCATCCTTTCCCTGACCAGAAATTAAGTCACCAAACACAGAAAGAAAGCAAAAGGACTACTGGACGGAGAGTCACCTGAGAGCAGGCTAGAGCAGAGCTTCTGAAGTGGAGCCCAGGGTCCCTCTGGGGTCAGGTCAAAGCCCTGTTTGGAATAACACTAGGGGAAGGGGTTGCTGGGGTCCTCTGCAGTGAGGCCGCCAGGGTCATGGGGTCCGGAACATCACAGTGGAGCATCCCACACGAACACCCGGCAGCCTTCCCCTAGTGGACACCGGGAGGCCACCAGAGTCCCCTGGGTCACTGTCCCAGTTACAGTCACTTGGGGGAAAATAGTTATCTTCTATAAAAAATATTCAGTTGATATCAATGGCTTATTTTGTATTATAATACATTTAAGATGAAGTGACAAACCATTTTAATAATTTGTCACCCACAACCCATGTAAATGAAAGCCCTTTGCAGTCCCCAATCATTTCTAAAAGCCTCAAGGAGTCCTGAGAGCAAAGCCTTGGCCGGCGAGGCCCTGGGGGGGGGACCGTGGAGGCCAGAGAGTGAGCCTTCCAGGCTCTGCGAGCGAGAGGCTGTACACCGGTACTTCCAGGACAAGGAAAGAGGCAAGTTCCCCACCCACGGGCCACACTCCAGGCGGCAGTAGGCCCGAGGGGGTGAGCAGGTGGGGCTCGCCCACCCCTGTCCACCGGCGTGTGCCGGGAGAGGTGGCCCCGACCTCCCAGGACTGTGAGGACCCAGTCCCAGCCCCCGTGAGGTTGCAGGACGACCCTGGAAGACTGATAGGCTGCAAATGATTTGGGTTCCACCAAAGCACTCAACCCAGAGGTGACCGTTCTACTGCCTGGTGGACGGCAACCGGCTTGGTCTAACCTGGTGACCCCAGACCAGAATTCCAGCTTTTCACAGATGATGGTAGGCAGGTAGGTAGAGAGAGAGGTGGGTAAATAGAGAGATAGGGATAGAGAGGCGATGGATGGATGGAGAGAGATGGATGACAGATCACTTTCTTGATCCCTTATTAATGAGCCTTATTAATGAGATGCGTGCTCACTATGTCTCTGTATGAGAATCATCATTTAAACTTTTTGAAAATCGTGCTTGGCCTCCAGCCCACCCACTAAGCAGCTGAGCAGCAGGACAAGGGAGGGTCAGGAAAGGTGTGACTGGGATTTCAGCTCTGCTTCCTCTCTGAGAAGGGGCTGAGGCGCGCACCTCGACGTCCGGGCTGGTGGAAACTCTGGCCAGTGGAGGAGGAATCTGAGAATTCAGGGGTTTGTGCTCGGGACCATCAGGTACGGTGGCCCAGGTAGTGCATGGCACGACCCCAGGAGCAACCAGTCCACGGACAACACTGTGGACAGCGCCCCAGCCCTGTGCAACCGGGTGGCCCAGCTGGCACGGGGCTTCTGAGGACTGGGCAGGAAGACTGGGGGAGAGAGACAGGCGACTGTGACATCGCAGCACCAGGCAGGACGGGAGGGGAGGGTGACCCAGCAGAACCGTTGCCTCCAGAAGACCAAGTTTAACCCCACGCCCCTGCCCTGGTACAGCCACCTCCCGGGACCACGGCCGGTGGGTCCAACTCCGTGACAGAGAAGCAGAGTCACGCGCTGTGCGCCCCCCTGCAGGCAGCTGTGGCACTGTCCACACGGCCGGAGCCCCCTCCCCACAGGCCACGCGGGGGCCCTCCCTCCCCCCACGGCACCCTGGGTGGCCAGGCCAGGGCTCCCTGCACCCACGAGGGAAGCCACGTGCCCAGCACTGGACCGAGAAAACCCGAGTCCCCGGGGGAGCGGGAGGGACCGCGGGGCAGAGGCCGTACCGAGCGAGGCGTTCAGAGCGCCCACGTCCTTCACGCTGGCTTCTGTTAAAGGAAATGGACAGTCAGCAGCGGGAGTGAAGCAGAGCGCGGCGGGTCCAGGACCAGCCTGGGGACGACGGCTGGTGCCTCTGCTGAGTGTCCCCAGTGCCCCACCCGCCCGCTGTCCTGGCTCCTGGGTCCCCGGGGGGCCCGCCAACAGCAGCCCGGCCCCAGCGGGGCCCCGCCTGGACCCCGGTCTCCCGTGCCCGACTGACCCAGGATGACCAGGCCCTCGGGGTCCACCTCGTACTCCGCCCGGTAGGGGGCCAGCGCCGAGCCGTTGGAGAGCAGCTCCTCCACCAGCAGCGCCTGCACCACCTCGGGGCTCAGGGACGGCCGGCGGCGCTCGGGGACTTGGAGGATGAACCAGAAGAAGCAGGTGAGGGGTCCCTCCCTAGGAGAGGCGGGCGTGAGAGGCGGGTCTGGCCCCAGCCCCCTGCACCAGCCAGCGGTGGCCCAGGGACCCCGAGCGCCCGTCACCTCCTGGGCGTGGCTCCCGATCTCGCCTGGGAGCCACCTACCTGCCAGTGAGGGAGGTCCTCGGCCACCACCCCCCGCAGGCGAGGACACGGGGCGGGGGCTGAGCTGCATGGCACCGACCAGGGCAGGCAGCAGCCCCGGACGGGGCCAGGTGGGCAGGGCTGGGGTCACGCGCTGGGGGAAGTGGGGTTCCCCCTCGGGGCCTTGGTGTCCCCATTAGAAGCATGAGAAACCCGGGGTGCTCCTGCCCATTCTCTGGGTCTGAGGTCCCGGCAGGGGCCGCGGGGCGGGGGCCACTCACCCGAAGGAGTAGACGGAGCTGGCGTTGTAGAAGGCGCCCAGCTGGGTGCTGGTGATGAGCTCCGCCAGCTGCGGGGAGACACAGCCTGGGCACCCGCGGTGCAGGCCTGGGTGCCCCTTCCCCTCCCAGCCCTGCTCCCTGGGGTCTCCGGGAGGGACTTTGCTGTGGTCACACAGCGGCCAGGGCCCTGCCCGGGCACCACCTCACCTCGCTCCACCTGCTGCCCTCCCCAGGCCCGGCTGTCACCCCACCTGCCCCGAGGGACCTTCTGCCCCCTGCAAGCCACCCCTCCACACTGAAAAGCCCCCTCAGCTCCTGGGCCCTCCCACCAGCGATGAYGGGACATGGTGTGAGCAGCCTGGGGACTGTCCCCACCAGGCCCAGGAAGCTGGGACTCCCTCGTCCCGTCCAGCTGCCCTGGCTGAGGCAGGCACACTCCACGGCCCTGCTGGGCAGGAGCAGTGAGAGCCACCGACCCCGGGAAGAGGCCCAGTCAGGGTCCAGTCCTCGGGCATTGGACCCGGGAGCCACTAACTCGCCCGTCTGCAGCAGGTCCCTCACAGGCCGGGGCTGTGCCCTGAGTGATCCGCCAGCTGGCCAGGCCCCGCCGCCCGCGCCCACAGCCCCCGCGGCCCTCCCTACCATCCTCTGGGCTCTGGCGGTCTCACTGCGGAAGACRCTGGACTCCCTGCGGGCGAGGTCCTGGGAGAAGTGGCGATTGAGCACGCGGAAGCTGCCCGAGTACACCTGGCTGACCGTCACCTCCGCCCGGTACCCTGCCCGGGAGAGCCAGCAGCGTGACCTCGGAGGCCTGTCCTCCGACCCCTGCCTTCCGACCCTGGGCTCCGTCTGAGATGTCGTCACCATCATCAGTGTGGCCTTTGTCACGGTCATCGTCATCCCGGTCCTCCAGAGCTTATCCGATGACAAACTAGCTCCCAGGTGCCAGGGAGGACAAGGCCCACAGACAGATGCTGTCCCAAAGGCTCCCAGTGACAGGATGACCCCGGGACCGACCCTGGACAGCGAGAAGGCCAGGAAACCCTCGTGGGTGAGGTCAAGGTCATGGTCAGCGCCCCTGGGCACCCTCCGCGCACCAGCTGTCCTGGATGCCGCAGGTCTGTGCCAAGCCCCACCTCCTGGGCCCTCGGGGAACCCAGACGGGCGCACCTCCCCTGACTGACAGCTCCGGGAAAGACAGACACTGCTCCAGGACCGCCCAGCAGGCAGGAGCCGCCCAAAACGGCGTCCCACCAATAAGCACAAGGTGTGACCCGGGCAACGTGACACAGGACACAGGCCTGGGCCACAGTGACCCTCTGGCTGAGCTGTGAGGACTGGGTAACGTGAACTGGGAAGAAGTACAGCGTGGCCGGGGTGGGGTTACAGCATGTGCAAAGGCCCTAAGGCAGAGGGTCCTGGTAAGGGCCAGGCTCAGAGCCCTTTTGGCTGAGCCATGGCGGGGGGGGGGGGGGGGGGGGGGGGGGGGGGG